TACGGCAGAATGAAACACTGCCCAGTCCTGCGGCATCCTCACAATCGTTGCTATGTTTGAGCCCATTGTTGCAGCCACTATGTCAGTCCATCTCGTTGAGGGTCTTCCTCTTTTTCACTGACCCTCTACTTCACCAAGCATGATGTCCTTCTCCAGGGACCGGTCCCTTCTGATAACATGTTCAAAATATGTGAGACTAAGTCTCGCCAAGCTTACTTCTAAAGAGCATTCTGGCTGTACTTCTTCCAAGACAGATTTGTTCGTTCTCCTGGCAGTCCATGGTATATTCAATACCTTTCGCCAACACCACAATTCAAAGGCATCAATGCTTCTTCCATCTTCCTTATTCATTGTCCAGCTCTCGAATGCATATGAGGTTATTGAAAAAATACCATGGCTTGGATCAGGTGCACCTTAGTCCTCGAGGTGACATATTTGCTTTGTAATGCTTTAAAGAGGAATCTTCTGTAGCAGATTTTCCAGTGCAGTGTGTCATTTGATTTCTTGACTGCTGCTTCTGTGGGTGTTGATTGTGGATCCAAGTAAAATGAAATCCTTGACAACGTCAACCTTTTCTCCATTTATCATGATGTTGCTTATTGGTCCAGTTGTGAGGATTTTTGTTTTCTGTATGTTGAGGTGTAATCCATACTGAAGGCTGTGGTCTTTGATCTTCATCAGTAAGTGCTTCAAGTCCTCTTCACTTGCAGCAAGCGAGGTTGTGTCATCTGCATAATGCAGGTTGTTAATGACTCTTCCTCCAATCCTGATGCCCACGTTCTTCTTCATATAGTCCAGCTTCTCGGATTATTTGCTCAGCATACAGATTGAGAATGGTGATAGGATACAACCCTGACACACACCTTTCCTGATTTTAAACCACGCAGTATCCCCTTGTTCTGTTCAAACAACTGCCTCTTGGTCTATGTACAGTTTCCACATGAGCACAGTTAAGTGTTCTGGAATTCCCATTCTTCACAGTGTTGTCCATAATTTGTTATGATCCACACAGTTGAATGCCTGTGTGTAGTCAGTAAAAGACAGGTAAGCATCTTTTTGGTAGTCTTTGCTTTCAGCCAAGATCCATCTGACATCAGCAGTGATATCCCTGGTTCCACATCCCCTTCTGAATCTGGCTTGAATTTCTGACAGTTCCCTGTTGATGTACTGCTGCAACTGTTTTTGAATTATCTTTAGTAAAATTTTACTTGCATGTGATATTAACGATATTGTTTGATAATTTCCACATTTAGTTGGATCACCTTTCTTGGGAATAGGCATGTATGTGGATCTCTTCCAGTTAGTTGGCCAGGTAGCTGTCTTCCATATTTCTTAGCATAGATGAGTGAGCACTTCCAGCACTGCATCGTTTGTTGAAACATCTCAGTTGGTATTCTGTCTGTTCCTGGAGCCTCGTAATGATCAGTCCTAGGCTGCAGCAAGTGTGCACACAAGCATACACTTAGAGAGGGAGACACACGCACGCACGCACGCACACACGCACACACACACACACACACACGCCCTTTCCGCGGCCCCCTGCCAAGCCTTCTCTGACCTCCCAGCAGGAGTGCTCACTGTCCCAGGGCTGCCTAACAAGTTACCATCAACTGGGTGGCTTAGAAAAACAAATTCATTGTCTCTCAGTCCTGGAGCCTGGGAGTCTGAGATGAGGGTGTCGGCCATGTTGATTCCTTCTGAGACCCTGGGGGAGAATCTGTCCCTTCCTCTCTCGCAGCTTCTGGTGGCCCCAGGAGTTTCTTGGCTTGCAGCTGCACCATCACATGGTGTCCTTCCTCTGACACACGTGGGGTCGCCGTGAGTCGGAGCTGAGTATACCTGGTAACTGGTATCTCAGCTGATCCCCACGTGGACCTTC